TGCGTAATTTAATGTAGCAGAGCACTAGTTTTACATAGGCTTTCTCCGCTGATAATCCAATAGTAATTCAGGAACAAGGGGTTAACACAGGAGAAACAGCATAAGTAGTAAATAAAATAATCCAGGAATATCCCATCACCTTTCCCAATAACTGGACGACACACAGTATCAGGAGCAGAACTGACGTTTAATGTCATATACCCTGCTTTTATGCATCTCTCCCATGCAAGGGAGACACCCAGAGAAAATTATACATTAACCAATCATACAGAGGTTACAACCCACACATCTCCTCCCTTCAGCCTGCAAGATAATACAGTTTTCATACAGAGTTTTCCCCGATTTCTAGATGTACCCCAAATACATACACCTACACCCCTAAATGATATATCCCCTGATAGCCCTGATCTGGGTGAGCAACATACTCAAAAATCACCCAGATCGGACCAGGGGTTCGGGAATTTTATGGAGGTGTTCGTCTGACCGACCGCACACGAGGGAGTAGCCGAAAGTAGTTCCATATATTCTGGCCTTGCGGTCGGTCGGTGTTCGTGGGGTAAAAAGCACAAAAATACTGTACAGATTGGTCTTGGCTTGGATTTGTATAAATCCCCTGGTTCGTGGGCATCCTTCTATCGAACGCCGGGCCGTTCGTATGTTTATTCACGAACGGGTGGAACCCGATTTGAGTTCCAGACACTCGACGACCAAACACCGCTGGGCGTTCGTATGGCAAGATGGCCGCCGCCACGTGTTCGTATGCCGAATGGGGCCCACCCAGGGAACACACAGTACATTCGTGTAATTGGCAATTAGGCTGGTGTTAATACTGATGAGGGAGGTAAATTATAGACACACTCCTCTCCGAGGTGATCTGGTTGTTCGGTAGTTTGTTAGAACGGAGATATTCAACTGGGTATCCATTGCGTTTCTACCGAACAACCAGACGAATGCTTCATACAATACATTGTATCCAAAGGAATAAACGATAGGGAAATAACGTTGCAACCATGATAGTTAGGGACAACAAAACGCATTCCAATACATGTGTCATTTACCTAGGGAAAAGATGGCAGAAAGATGCACTACGGGAAGAAGGCAGGCAGTCCGGCAGAGGCAGTCTTATGCTCTGGGCAATGTTCTGCTGGGAAACCTTAGATCCTGAAATTCATGTGCATGTTACTTGACACATACCAGCTACCTAGAGATTGTTGCTGTCACGTCCTGTTCCATTCTGTTCAGATGTCTGGCCTTGGCTTCTGGTATCCAGTACTCTTTTTACAATTCTTGTCTAGTTTTTCTTGGTTTTTCTGGTTTTCTTTTCTATGTCTGGTTTTCTTTATTGTGGGTGTTCTGAGTTCATTCATTTATTCCGTTCCTGGAATTCCCAGTCTCTTGGATTCCTTTAAATGTTCCTAAAAGGATTTCTTTGCCATTAATCCTTTTTGTGTCAGTCTGTTCATGCAAGCAGTGGTCTCATTTCCTCTGCTCTTTTATTTGCAGTTAAGTACTGTGTGTGTTTTATTGTTTATTTGGTCATGCATATCTAGGCAGTTAGGACCCATCATAAATGGAGTACTTTGGCGCAGTGGTGGGCTGCATACATCTTGGCCATTTATGTATGTCTAAATCTCAAATGTTTATTACATATATAGTACTTAGTTATGTCTCCTCTTATTTTGCCTTGTATCTCTTGACTTGTTTTATTATGGCTTGTATTCCCAGTTCATGTCCTGTCCTGTCCTGCCCTGTCCATGTCATGTTCATGTTTTGCTCATGCATTGTGTACATGCTCTGGGTTCTGCTTTCTGTCCTGCTCCGGTTCTGTGTTCTTCTAGTCTTGTCTTGTTTTTCTGTTTGGTGCCTGTTCTAGTCTTGCCTTGTTTCTAGTACTGGATACATATCTGCTTAATATCAGCTCCTGGCATCCGCTTAAGCTGCATCAGGGCTCTGGTATGTGGCCGCACAAACTCTGGTGCTCAACACCAGCGGGTATGTGGTTACCCTGTACCAGACCCTGATTGTCCATTTCCACGCTGAGACTCCCATGTTCCTCATCAGGCACACAGCAGTCCCGGTCTTCGGACTGCCATCTGTGACAGATGGCCGTAGGCATACATGGAGTTTGTGGAGTGGACTCTGCATCTTTCCTGACCTGCTCTGGACCTGTCTGCTGTAGATGACCTCTTCATTTCTGTTCAGTTTCTCTGATACCTGTCCTGGAGGAGGTTTACCTGCTAAGTGGTTCGGTGTTCTCTACAGCTGTCCTCTTGTGATGTTTAGTGCCTGGTTCTGATTCCGGATTCTGTTCTGTGGCAGTGCTCCTGTTCTAAAGTGGACCTTCTTTCCTGGCTGGTGGTTCCTTTGCTGGAGACCTCTCCGAAGGATTTGGAGTTGTTCAAGAAGGCATAAAGATGGAGATTCCTTGCCTATAGTAAGTCATGAGGACTTAGTCGCTGGATCCATGCTCTTTTCCTGGTCTCTGCTTGAGAGCTGCTAGTCGCGCCTGGAGGTCGCTCCTTAAGAGGGGAGTTATGTCACATCCTGTTCCGTTCTGTTCAGATGTCTTGCCTTGGCTTCTGGTATCCAAGTACTCTTTTTACAATTCTTGTTTAGTTTTTCTTGTTTTTTCTGGTTTTCTATTCTCTGTCTGGTTTTCTTTTTGCTGGGTGTTCTGGGTTCATTCCTTTATTCCGTTCCTGGAATTCCCAGTGTCCTGGATTCCTTTAAATGTTTGTTTTTTGTTGCCATGCCCATTCCTTTGCCATTAATCCTTTTTGTTTCAGTCCGTTCCTGCAAGCAGTGGTCTCATTTCCTCTGCTCCTTTCTTTGCAGGTAAGTACTGTGTGTGTTTTATTGTTGTTTATTTGGTCATGCATATCTAGGCAGTTAGGACCCACTGTAAATGGAGTACTTTGGCGCAGTGGTGGGCTCCATACATCTTGGCCATTTATGTATGTCTAAATCTACGTTTATTACAAATATAGTACTTTGTTATGTCTCCTCTTATTTTGTCTTGTATCTCTTGTCTAGTATTCCCAGTTCATGTACAGTCCTGTCCATGTCCTGTTCATGTTTCCCCTTATGTACATGTTCTGGGTTCTGCTTTCTGTCCTTCTCCGGTTCTGTGTTCTTCTAGCCTTGTCTTGCTTTCCTGTTTGGTGCCTGGTGCTCAACACCAGCAGGCATGTGGTTACCCTGCACCAGACCCTGGTTGTCCATTTACACGCTGAGACTCCCATCTTCCTCATCAGGCACACATGGGTCCTGGTCTTTGGACTGCCACTCGTGACAGTTGCAAACTGTGTACACCCCTTCATGGCAATGGGGTTCCCTGATGGCATTGACCTCTTTCAGCAATATAATGCATCCTGACATCCTGTTCAGGAATGGGTTGAGGATCATGACAAAGAGTTCAAGGTGTTGCCTTGGCCTTCAAATTCCCCAGATCTTAATCCGGTTGAGCATCTGTGGGATGTTCTGGAACAACAAATCCAATCCACGGAGGCCCCGCCTTGAAACTAGCAGGACTTAAAGCATCTGCTACTAATGTCAGATACCACAGGACACCCTCAGAGGTCTTGTGGAGTGCATACCTTGATACATCAGAGATGTTTTGGCAGCATGAGGAGGACCTACACAATATTAGGCAAGTGGTTTTGATGTTGTGGCTGATCAGTGTATAGCGGATAGAGAATTCCACACACCATCTGTCACTATGTGTTGTCAAAAATGTCCAACAGTATGTATCATGATGTGGTCATACAACACAGCCTTTTAAAGGTGTGTATCAGCTACACAGAAAGCTGGACCAGAAAAAGGGTAAATGTTCCACACAAGTGTATCATCTGCAAATATGTGAGTTTCTCACATCAATCTTATAATATAATATGAGATGTATGTCGCACTCGCATAGCATCATTTGTGGCTAGTGGGACACCCAAATTACTCCCAGCAGGGCTAGTGTAGCCCTGATATAGCATCCAGGGGGACTAGTGTTGACCTGACGGGAGTAGTGTCATCGTGACATAGCACCTAGCATGGCTAGTGTTGTCTTTGCATAGCATAGAGTAGGGCTACTATTGCACTTGGCAAAATAAAGCACACAACTGGAGCAGTGCATACACAATACGTCATACTGTAACACATTATACACGTATATTACGTGTATATGATATATGGGATTAAAGAGGATCACACATTGGGAGGGGTCAAACATGTCACATTATCACATTTATATAAGAATGTAGATGGAAGGATGGAGGGGTTGCCTGTGTGTCTGTCTATGCTGTTTAAGCAGGTAGTGGGCTTAGGGCAAAGTTTCCCAAAAGTTCACCAAGGCCATGGCCTCGAGGCGACAAACAGGAGAGGGGCAGCATGGGAATTTGTTGTCTCCCAACCTTTCACCCCCTTTTTATTTATTTATTTATTTATTTATCTGTCTCAGGAAGGTTGCTAAACTTCACAATATGCAAGGGAAGGAGTACATTAACCATGCAAGAGATGGACAGCACATAGAGGGAGCATGCACAAATACATAAAGAAAATAGCTCAATACTGACACAGGAAACACACACAAAAAAAATCTACAGTGCATGGTGACAGAGATAGACAGAGCATATAGAATTAACAGAGAGAACTACAGTGCAGAAAAAAAGGAACATAGTGTATATAGGGAACACCGAAAGCTGTATAGTGCACACATGTAGACACAAAGGATATACACCGAGCAGAGAAAGATATACATTGCATGCATGTAGGCACAAATTATACATACTGGGAAGAGATACACAGTGGATGTCTGGGGTCATGACCTTGCCCTCTGACCACTTAAAGGACCTCTGCTATTCCGTTACATACATCAAACATCACCTCCTCTGCTATTCAGTTACATATACCCCACATCTCCTCCTCTGCTATTCCATTACCTACATCCCACATCTCCTACTCTGCTATTCTGTTACATATATCCCACATCTCCTCCTCTGCTATTCCGTTACATGCATCCCACATCTCCTACTCCACTATTCTGTTACATATACCCCACATCTCCTCCTCAGCTATTCCGTTACATGCATCCCACATCTCCTCCTCAGCTATTCCGTTACATGCATCCCACATGTCCTCCTCAGCTATTCCGTTACATATATCCCACATCTCCTCCTCAGCTATTCCGTTACATGCATCCCACATCTCCTCCTCAGCTATTCCGTTACATGCATCCCACATGTCCTCCTCTGCTATTCCGTTACATATATCCCACATCTCCTCCTCAGCTATTCCGTTACATGCATCCCACATCTCCTCCTCAGCTATTCCGTTACATGCATCCCACATGTCCTCCTCAGCTATTCCGTTACATATATCCCACATCTCCTCCTCAGCTATTCCGTTACATGCATCCCACATCTCCTCCTCAGCTATTCCGTTACATGCATCCCACATCTCCTCCTCAGCTATTCCGTTACATGCATCCCACATCTCCTCCTCAGCTATTCCGTTACATGCATCCCACATCTCCTCCTCAGCTATTCCGTTACATGCATCCCACATGTCCTCCTCAGCTATTCCGTTACATGCATCCCACATCTCCTCCTCTGCTATTCCGTTACATGCATCCCACATGTCCTCCTCTGCTATTCCGTTACATATATCCCACATCTCCTCCTCTGCTATTCCGTTACATATATCCCACATCTCCTCCTCTGCTATTCCGTTACATGCATCCCACATCTCCTCCTCAGCTATTCTGTTACATATATCCCACATCTCCTCCTCAGCTATTCTGTTACATATATCTCACATCTCCTCCTCTCTTATTACGTTACATGCATCCCACATCTCCTCCTCTCTTATTACGTTACATGCATCCCACATCCCTCCTATTCTGTTACATGTGTCTCACTATGTTAACTATTCCATACCTATCCCATCTCTTCTATCTGTCATGCCTCCCCATTCCCAAAAAGGCCCCATTCCCACCATCATGTCACTTTTGTGATTTATCTCTTCCGGTATCCACAAAGCCTTACTTTTCTTACAGAATGGCTCCTCTCCTTGGACCTTTGTGTCATAAATATTTATATTTGTGTTGTTTATGTTTTGTGTTCAACATCTGTTTTATTCAAATACTTGAGACAACCTGTCCCTCATTCCTAGAGATCTTTTTGCTACTCTTCTGACAATCATTTTTCTTCTACGTCAGGTCTGAACCACCTGCTGGCCCACCTGCTGCCCCCAGGGAAGGAGATCCTGGAGCTCCCCAAGCCAGCAACAAGAAGCTTGAGCATACTCAAGCACAGGTGGATGCGGTGAGTGAATGTGTTTTTCTACACTGGGTGGGATTGCTTAGAAATGGAGTTGTCTAACTATCTCCTATCTCTTGTGTTCTCTCTATACTCTAAGGTGGTGGATCTAGTGCGTGTGAATGTAGATAAGGTTATGCTAAGAGATCAGAAGCTGTCCGAAGTGGATGAGCGCGCGGACGCTCTGCAGGCCGGGGCCTTGCAGTTTGAGACCAGTGCGGCAAAACTCAAGCGCAAGTACTGGTGGAAGAACCTCAAGGTATAACTTTGCCTTAGAATTTCCATTTACACTCTGCAACTCTCAAAAAATCTCCTGTCCCTGTCTTCTAACTGTGACATTGTCACTCTTGGTTCCCAAGATTCATACTTTTATCTCCCTGATATTAATTTTGTTTCTTTTTGGCCAGTGTGGTGTCTCCCTTTCCTTTTTAGTCAGTTGCACTTTCTTTTTACTCTGGTATGGAGCTTACTTTATCGTCCATGATCTTCTCTCTTGCTTTGACATGTTCTCTTCTTTTTTTCTGTGTTATGATGCTCGCTCCACGGAACCATGACTCTGTCATTCATTAATCTCATACTCTCTTTTCCTAGTATTTACTCTGGCACATCACATTCTGTCTGCTTTAAACGTGTAAAAATATGGCTTGCAATGATCCCACTTTGAGCCTTGTCAGTCATCACTCTTGTTTTGTTGAATAAAGTTTGTACCATTCCTATCTCTTCTCTAACCTGTTTTACGATTGTTTTTGAGGAGACCAAAGACACCTTTTGTTGAGTCCTCTTTCTGTCTTTTTCTCAGCCTGATCTCTTTCTTGCACAGGTTCTCTCTGACTTTACATCCTCTTTGATGTTAATCAAACATATTTCCTGTTCTCTTGTGCTGGCTCTCCTCTATGTTCAGTTGTTAACTTATTGTTTCTTAATGCATTCCCTGCTAGGCCTTTAACTGCGTTTGCTGTCTCTTCTCTCCTTCTGTTATAATTCCAACTAACGGTCACAATGTCTCTCCACAGATGATGATAATTATGGGTGTGATATGTGTCATGATCCTCATCATAATAATTAGTAAGTTGTCTTTATGTGATGTGTGTCTATATACTTGTTTCTTGTATCTGTGCTGTTCAAACTAGACTGACTGTATTAACCTCTTATTTTTCTCTTATCGTTCTCCATTCTCTCTCTCTCTCTCTCTCTGCATTCTCTGTTCTATCATTTTTATTTAACTAACTTTTAACAACCCCTTTGCTTTTTTTTTCTACTATTTTTTTCTTTTTTCCTTCTGTCCTCCCTGACTTGTTTCCAACCTTGTTGTATGTCCCTCTCTTTCATTCCCTCCTCTTTTTGTCCATCTTGTTTGTCTTCTCCATTTATTCCTTATCTTCTTCCACCAATTCCATCTCATTCATTGGCCCCCCTTTCAATTTATCGCTTCCCATTCTTTTTCACTTGATCTCTGCTCCTTCATTTTCTCATCTTTTAAAATCTGCCTTTTATTTTCCTCCTGTACACCAATCTTGTCTTCTTCTTTCATTCGATTCTTTCTTCTGCCTCGTTTCTACATCCATCTACTTTCCTTTCTTTTCCTTTTCCCTGATTCTATATGGTTTTATTTTCCTTTTTTTAACCCCATTTCTGCCCCAATCCCCTTTACTGAACCCTCACCCCCCTATCACCATTTTTGTTTTTATCTTTCCTCCTTCAGTTTACTTCACCACCTAAAGTAAACACGCTCTCCCCGTCTCTACTTCTTCCCCTTGCCGGATCTCTCATCTACCCCCAGCTGGGACCAGACAAACTTCAACATAACTCCCCCTCCTGCCTCTCCCCTCATCCTCTAACACAGGGAAGTGGGGATCCAGTGTTGTGCAGATGGCTCTCTCTGGCTCCCGTTTGTAAATACTCACTGAATGGATCCCCTCTAACTTTTCCCTGTGACACTGTAATGTTATTACCTTCAGGGGAGACTAAAGTACACATCAGCCCTAATACATACATAAAAACCAGAGAAAAGTTACTTGCGCACTATCCCAAATCCCTATGCACTTTAAGTAACTGGAGTTTTTTTGTTTTAGTATCACTACAATGGTCATTCAAGCATAAGCTCATCTGACAGGTCAAGGCAAAATCCATTAGGTGAGTCCTACATTAACAAGTCACCTTGTTGCTTTTAGATAAAAGGTAAAAGCTTTAATGAGAGAGAGGAGTATTTTTAAAAAAACCTACACACTCATTAACTCTTAATAAGGAACACATAGGGTGGGTGACGGCATTGTAACATGGCTGTGTACTACAAAAGCAAATTCAAACATACAAAGTTAAGTTCTGCGCTCAAACTCCCACTCCTCTTGGGAGCAATGACTATAGTACACATCAGCCTTAATACATACAATAAAAAAAACACAAAAAAAGTTACTTGCGCAGAGGAGGGTCATTTACCCTGCCACTATCTTAAATCGGTACCTCAACTTCCTGTTTATCTGGTGTGCCATGTGCAGGAGGCTCATCATCCGGCACACCACAGAATAAGCAGTTGGGGGAAGTTGGGTAGCTGATGAGAACATTACTGGAGCCACTGGCTGTGTGGGTGAGAGGTCCAGTACAAAAATAGCAGAGGGGCAGGATGGGAGTGCTGTTTGTGGGTATGGGGACAATATTAGAGGGGCAGGAAAGGAGTGACAGTAATGTGTAGGTGAGGGGTGTGGGAAGGAGGGCAATGCAGGAATAGCAGAGGGGCAAAATGGAGTGACAGCTGTTTGTGTGTGTGTGTGTGTGTGTGTGAATGTATGTGTTTGTATGCTAAAGGGGAAAATCAATATAGTAATAGAGGTAAGGGCAGTTATTTAAGTTGCCCTAAGCTTATTGCCCCACCACCTTGAGTCACTGCAGAATTTATTTTATTTATTACTGGCATTTATAAAGTACCAACATATTCTGCAGTGCTGTACAATTGGGAAAGACAACTCAATAGGAACAGACCGACACAACAGGCAGAGGGCCCTGCCCATGAGCTTACAATCTAAAGGTTAAACTGGGGAGATGAGACAAGAAGTAGCAGAGGGATTTGTATGTGATGGCAGAGAGAGTTAATAGTATAACTGCAGCAGCTGATAACATGTGAAGGGAATGAGGAGGTGATTGGCTATGGTTCCAAACAGCTGGATGTGCATGCTATATAGTTAGAAGGAACCGGGGAGGGTGGGTGGGTAGAGCTGAGTAAAAAAAAGTATTTGCCAACAAAAATTCTAACAGCAAGATTATTAATAACTACATGTAACAGCAAGTACAAAATATTACAGTAGTAACCTGGTAGCATCGTTATAGTAACGTAATAACCTAGTAACAAGATGAAAGAAATCTGGTTGAATATCTTCTCCATCTCAGTCCGTACCTTACAGATGCAGTGATCAAAATGAAAAGGCGTTGATGCAGGGATGGATGATGATTAGGGGCTTACAGCTGCAGTGTTCAAAATTGAATGAATTGTCTTTGGGGGATGGTGGCAATTGCTAAGCAATACCCAATCGGGGTAGCTGGAGGAGGGCAACATTTGCACCCACCCTCTACTACACAAAGTGTTAATGAGAGTTTGGTATTGAGGGTCATTTAATATGTAGTTGCCAGCAGCCAGGGCAATAAGTCACATAGCTGAGATATAACTCTCCCTGCCTCCCGTACATTCCGTTATGTTCCTCATTGCCTGCAGTGTCTCATTTGGAGGGGGAGGTTTGCAGCCGCAGGCAGTAGGGTAAATTTCCCCCTCTCCTTGCTCTCCTCTTCCCCCTGATTTCCCCCTCCACTTTCCTGTCCCTGCAACATAAATATTACAATAAATGCTGTTTAACCAAATTCCCTTTGTGGTGTGTTATTTTCCTTAGTTTATTTTCCCCCTACCATTTTTTTTTTTTTTTTAATAAGGGGTAAGACGTATTTCATGTAGTTTAGGAATGGGACAATTGTGTGAGATAGATATATTAAAGGAATACTCTGCTTCCAACATGCAAAAAAGTTAAAAACCACTGTTTAGTACATATGCCCCACAAAAAGAAAACATGCATGCATTTAATTTATTTTATTTTTATTTTTTTACATCAGAAGATGGTATTTGTTGTTTCATATTTTGTAAAAATGAGAGTTAAAAATATCAAATACCAAATCAAATTGTTATTTCGTGCTTATACTTTTCTTTTTTCTTTGTTTTAGTAATCTTTTCTTTGTGTAATTTTATTTAACAATTAAATACAAACATCAGACTAACCTAGACAAACATTTGTTCAGTTGCAGTGTTCGGAAACATAGCTGTAAAAAATAAATAAATCAGATGAAGGGCTGAAGGCAGGGGGTATCCACATAATCATATAGTTTAAAAGGGAATTGATCAGTTGAGAGTAAATGCAAAGAGTCACTGTCCAGGATCTAATTTTTTAATCCATCTGTCCCAAAAACTATATTGATGACCCTTCAATGGGGAACACGCTCCATTTTACATTGTATAATACTTTGAGTATGAATCTTTTACCAGCTATCCACCTTAGAAGACTTCCAGTTTCTGGCTATAGATGTTTTGACAGCTATTAGAATATGTAAGATAACTGATCTAGACAATCGATTAATCATCCCCATATCCATGTGTAATAAAGCCATATTCAGGGTCAGTTTAAACTTAATTTAAATAAAGTTGATAAATAATGATTTGTCATCTCCCAGAGATGTCTAATTATCGGGCAATCACAACAAAAGTGTTTAAAATCTGCAGATGACTCAGAGCATCTCCAGTCATTAAAAGAGGCTGCAGTATACATTTTTGCAATTTTTCGGGGGGTCCTATAGCATCTGTTTAATATCTTATAATGAATTTCATGTATATTTAAACAGTGACAAGTTTTATATAACGTCGGAAGAGAGTTATTCCATTCTTTAATATTTATACGTGTTTTCAAGTCATAATTCCATTTAGCAATTAACCCCAGATCGTGCGATCGCGGAGATCGCGGGGTTAACGGTGCTCCGATCTGCCTCTGTATTAGAGGCAGACCGGGAGCACCGGATCGCGCTGTCCCTGGAGCAGTGCTCGCTCTGACAGGCTGTCAGAGCGAGCACATGTGCTGCAGGGATTTACCATCCGCCTCCCTGCACTTTAACCCCTAACACCTTAATTTTATTTTATTAATTCATTTAAAAATATTAAAACTGTATACTTAGCTAGCTGGGGTGGGTGGACGTTAGTGGGGAATTGGGGAATTTGGTGTTAGGCAAGCTAGGGGTTAACATTCAAAAAAACTTTCAAAAAAAGTTACAAAATTTTTTTAATAACATTTTTTTAAAAAAGGACAAAAAAATCCCACCCTCCTTTACCCAGTCCTAATAAAAATTAACCCCTTCACTACCAGTTGATCACTAGCTACAGTGATCAAAATAGATTATACTGTGATCCAATTTTTTTTTTAAACTCCTTAGGGTTAACTTATTTATTTTTTTTAACCCTGAGGGGTTCAGTTTATTTAATTCATTCATTTAAATATTTTAAAATAATATATTTTGCTAGCTGGGGTGGGTGGGAGTTATGGGAAAGTGGGGAATTTACCGTTAGTGGTGCTTACTGCTAGTTAGGGGTTAACAGCTTATACAAATGTTAAATCTGTAAAAAAAAGTTTTACGAAAGTTTTGTTGCTGCTGGGGGCCAAATTATGCAATGCACAAGATCCAGCGCACTCACCTATCCACTAAACAGCAACTTCAATGTTGAAAGATTGTATTTGGTTTTTTTTAAAACACCTAATCTAGGCAAAAATAATGGGGGTTTAGTTACATTATATGGTCATACATTGCATAAGCCTGCCACAACGTCAATGTACCCCATCTTTGGCAGGTCCTACACTAACAGCCTAATGTCTGCCCTAATTGGCCCCCAGCAGCACCCCCATTTATGCATGTTCAGGTGAGTGCAGCCAACCCCCCCTTGTTTCATATATATATATATATTTGGGAGTCTAGCCAACTCCTTGGTTTTGCACCCCTCCCTGTCACAGGTGCCTCATTCCAGGGCTCTTTTTAGCCTTGTACTGCAAAGAGCCCCAGATGGAATTTTTTCCCCAGGTAAGTGGGTAAATCTCATAAGAGCAAACATTAGGCTGTTAGTTTGTTGTTTTTCACACACAAACAAATATTAACACTAACTTTGGCCAGTGTTTGTGACCAAGTGGCTACTAAAAAAGACTGGACATACCTAATTTGCAATACATTGGGTTGTCTACTTTTGCAAATGGTATGCCATTATGGGGGTAATTCTTATTCCTGGGCTACCATACGGTCTCAAAGGCAACATAACCAACCTGGCAAATTTCAATGTGAAAAAACAATTTTCTCTCATTTTTTTACATTTTATTCATATTAAATTATGTTTCATACCTAAATATTTGATGTTAAATGAAAGCCCTATTTCCCCTGAATAAAGTGATATATAATAAGTGTGGGTGCACATAATATGAAAGAGGCAAATTACGCCTGAACAGACATATATCGCAAATTCAAGTTTTTGTTTTGATCACAACGTGTACATTTGGCTCAGTTCTTAAAGGAATGCTATAGGGTCAGGAACACAAACATGTATTCCTGACTCTATAGTGTTAAAACCACTATTTAGCGCCCCTACCCCCTAAATATAGTAAAATCTTACTTTTATTCCAGCCTGGTGGTGCTGGCTCTGACAATGATCTGCCTGT